AGGAACGAGTCTAGATGCTTCTTTGGTAAACAACATTAGGCTACGCCACAGCACATTATTTTTAAGCAATGCAAACTAAGGTTAGCATGAAGGATTGTGTTACTCAAGTTAATTTCAGACCCTTGTTACCAAGGGTAGAATTTGACATAATGAAAACTGACAATTCAAGGAGATGTGTCACTCACGAAGCATTAAAAGGGTTATCATGCCAGCGGTATCATGGTTCAGAGACACAGGGGAAGCTGGAAGTTATAAGCAGAGCTACCGTATAGAATTTAGCAGCATGTTTGACGTGCCTTAAATTATGTGTCAAATGAAAGCCACATGTGTTTGCTTTAAACCTGGCGTGCCTTTACTGTGACATGAATCACGGTAAGCAAAGGCACTGGGTAATTCAGCCAGCACAATGGCCCCGCTTTTACATCTTCAAACCATTCCCTCATGTCAACTGATCACTGAAATGCACAGGTTTTTTTTTTTTTTCGTAAACATGCTCTAACCACCTGATCTGAAAAGGTTTTAGCATTGCATACCAGGTTAAGGATCCTTTGACACCACCATTGCTCGTCTCACACACCACAATCCCAGACCTATTCAATACCGCAACCCCCTCTGCCCCCGCAGATAATCTTTAATGGCTCTGAAGGGCATTATTACCATACAAAACAGGCTTTGTGAACATTGAGCCAATGTTAGTAACTTGATATACTGAAGAATCAAGCCCTTTCAGTTAAGCTTTTATCAAGTCTTAAGAGTCTTAGAAACACCCTTAACAACAGCCCGAGTGTCTGAGCTTAAAGCCGAGGAGAGCATTTCTCCAGAGTGACATCAGAACCACAAGCAACAGTGGACGTCCAACCAAAAACCTCAGATGATGTTCAACATGGTTTGGCTGAAAGTGAGATGAGATCGAGGCGACACTGGAGCTCAATCCCACAATTTAACATTCCACTTAGACAAGCTATTTAGCAGTCAACTCAAAATCTCAGACTTTGTCTTAGACTCCAAAATGATTCTGGTCTTGATTTTAGGGAAGGTCTCGGCATAATTCTTCTCTTAACTGAGATCGCACGACAATGGCATGACCTGGGTGCATTAATCTTATCCTAGCATCCGCTAGCGTGACCCCTGACCTCAGCACTTGGGCCCGATCATATGATAAACCTTCCCTCAAAGACACGTAACAGTTTGACATTTTGTTCTCATGTTGTTTAAGGAAAATCATCTGGATTAATAGAATATTAGAGCAATGTAACTGTTGGATAATAGTAAAATTTTAAGTTAAAATGTTAAGTTCAATGGTTAAGTTTAATATGGTACAGAAATAAATTGTAAATTAATTACTCAAAAGTGACCTGTTGACATTACAGAAATTACTGTAATGGTACAGATATTTGCTGGTGATATTATCAATTATCATTGTGAATATACATACACACACACACACACATATATATATATATATATATATCTTCATAACCAAAGTCATAAACAGTTGAGACAATGGAAAGACCTATTGCATTGCCTAAGAATATCAGTCGGTCTTGTTCAGGGTTCAAAAAGTTTTTCGAGTCGAGCCACAAAAAAAAAAAAAAAAACTATTTATAATAAATGTGTTTTACAATAAATGCATTTTTGGAAAAAAAAAAAAAAAAGTATTGTAATTTAGGATTAATTATTATTAATTTATGTATACAAATGCACACAACTGTTCAAAAGTTTAAGGTCACTAAGACTTTTTAAAAATAAATTAATACTATTATTCAACAAGAATGCATAAATCGATCAAAATGACAGAAAAGTTTCTATTTAAAAATAAGTGCTGTTCTTTTGAGCATTCTATTCATCAAAGAATCCTAAAAAAAAACGTCGATTAACCGGTGGGAAAAATTCCTCACCGTCACAACCCTAGTTGAAACACAGTGTTCCCACATTCTGTGTCAGTATTCAGTGGCTTTCATCACTATTGTCATCATGTTATTCTACAAGTGGGAGGGTGACATGACTGAAAAAAGCTAAATATGAATGAATCCGAATGAATGTCCTTCAAATCATTCTTGCTTTTTTACACAAGATGGGTCATATGAGGTTTGACGGCAATCTTAGGACGACGGGCAAATAAAACCATTTGAACCGCAATGCCTCAGGCATGCAATACAAAGTGTTTCATCTCAAAATCTGCATTCACCATCATTATCTTGAAGTCCTAAGAATACACCGCATCAATCAGAGCTTATATTTCATTTTCTAACATGAGCAGACATCACTAGCTTAGCCTGGCCTTCGCTGGCAGCTCTGATTATTTACTGAAATCCAGTACAGCAAACATTAAAGGAATGAACAACTTGAAAGGAATAAACTGAGCCAAGAGTATGGAAGGTGACTTTCCAAAACTGGTTGGCGGCCATCCGAATCCTGCAAACTTGGCCCTTTGGTGTAGACGTGGAGACATCATTCACCTTTAGCCAGCTGGCAATAGCTCTGTATTACTGGTTAGTGGTGTAAACTCTGACCTTGAGGCAAGTGTAGGACTTCTGGAATGCATTTGTGTCTTTAATGACAATTTGAGCTCCACCAAAATAGTTTAGAAAACTAGTTGAGTTACAAGGCGAGTTACAGCAGCCTAATTAGCTAAATTCCAGAAGTCAACTGCTTCTCATCTGTTGAGATAATATAGGGCAACTGGAACAGGGTGACTGGAATACTGACTGGATATACTGAGGACAGCTAAATATGCAAAAGGACCAACAAATAATCTTGTTTCTGAAGCAGTCCATTTGGCCAGTTTCAGGCAAAAAACAACAACAACAGCAATAACAGCTTTGCATAATAATAATAATAAGAAGAATTATTATTATTATTTATCTGCACATATATAATGCAGTATATTATTATTACAGTCTATTTGGCAATGAGTTCCAGACAAAAAATATATAAATATTTTGTTAATATACATTTTTTTCTTACACTCATTTAGCTTGCAAAACTTTGCATTGTGTTATTATGTTATATAAATATAATATCTATACATATATAATGTAAAATAACAAAACAAATACAAATTATTATTATTATTAATAATACTACTGCTAAAGTTTATTTGGCCATGATTTTTAGACAAAATTTTAAATAAAAAAATATTTAAATAAATCTTACAGTCTTTTAGATTCAAAACAACTTTTCATAATAATAATAATAATTATTATTATAAATTATTACATATAATGTATCTGCACATATAATTTAAAATAACTGAATAAATAATAATAGTTATTGTTGTTGTTATTATTATTATTATTATTATGCAAAGCAGTAAAATGTAAAAATGAATAAATATATCTACTATAACTCACCATCTTGCATGGTGGTAAAGATGCTTCAGTCTATACAGTCTGGAGGGCTGAAAGAGGAGCACGTGTAATTAAGAAAACCAAACGCCTTGACTGGCTTAAGAGGCTCTGCAGGTTGCGTGATCTGATCTGCTGTTGAGTATTAGGCGAGCTAAGTACAGCTGGTCTGGCAAGGGAATTTCGGGTGAGGAACATTTCTCAAGGAAGTAGCAGATTAGCCCTGTTAGTGCTGGATCTCAAGCCCCATAGCATCTTTATGCTCAGCTTAACTTAATGAAAAAAAAATCTTATTAAATTATGTTTGTGTATCTGGTATAAAAGAAACAGTGGCACACACTCTCCCACAGAGAAATTAGCTTTCAAATGTGTAATTTTCTGTTTATTAAATAGTTTCAGGCGAACAATGTCAAGAGAGACTGCTATAAATAAATACTTGTCTAGACTCCCCATAAATATTGTCTAGCTGTCAGCGGTGACTCATAATAACCGTGCTGGTGGATGGAAAATATGACCAAATATAACCACCTTTGCAGCATCAGTTAATTTCCGATTTGTATGAACATCTGAACTTGACATGATAACATGTAACATACAACATTCGTTCATCATGTGCAGCGCTGACCTCAGAGGTCATCCGCCCGGAACTGCTTCCGTTTACAACAGTGAGCGCAAGCTACATTAATGTGATTATTAAGTTTTGAATATGTTTATTTTTCTTACAAAAACGCATCAATTCGCTACAGAAGGCCTTTGTTCACCCCCCGGAGCCGTGTGAGACACCTTTTTTTTAATGGATGGGCGCTTTTTATTTAACTTGTTTTGGACTGAAGCATGCAACACCCGCTGAGTGCCATGAAACAGCTTGAAAGATCAAAGACAATTTTTAATAGAACTCCGACTGGATTCGTCTGAAAGAAGAAAGTCATATACACCTAGGATGACTTGAGGGTGAGTAATTTATGGGCTAATTTTCATTTTTGGGTGAACTAACCCTTTAATGCGCCGAAATCTGCCTATGACGCCCAAAAATGCTGTCTAGGCAGGCAGCTCGCCAAATTTTGAGACACAGCCAAAACATGAGGCAGAGACTAAACAAAGTCTCAAAAATACTTAAGTATTTACCTCCACCACAGCCATGTGTCAAAACAGCGGGGGTTACACCAAACGTTTACAGCTTTAGAAATACTTCAATTGGAAAAAAATATTCGACACTAATTGTTAAACAGTCGATGCCACCCTGGCACTTGGCACCCTATATAAATATAATGGAAGGCAGAGTAGGCTACAAGAAGTTTGTGAGTTTAAATGAGTCAAGATTTTTAAAAAAACTTCCCAATAAGAAAACCAGTTGTCGGTTTCTATCGTGGACATCACTGATAAAAACAGGCTAAATTAAACCTCATACAAGCAACGCTAGTCTGTGTGTTTGTATAACGGTACAAACATGTTTGCTGTTCTCCTCTCCAGTTATTTTATGCGGCGCGAGCGTATCATGCAGGAAGCGGAAGTTATTTTGATTCAATGAACAAGTTTCCTGCGTTTATCACTCATTCGGAAACCTCTCTCGGCTCGACCACGTCAATGACACCAAGTAAAGCTCCTATATATTATATAATCACTTATATAGAGACGAGAACAGGCTGCTCTTACCTTCCAGACGCGGCTCTCGTGTGTCCGCTCGCTTCCACGGACGCGCCGCTGTTTCCCAACTTTGTGGGAAGGACTCAGTGACGTGCTGGAATAATCCTGGAAAAAAGGCATGAATCACTGCACGGACCAGGGAGATGTAGCGGATGGGTTAAATCCTCCCATTGAGCTCAGGTCAACCACCAAAGAAGAGAACCAAAGAACCACCTAAAAAATTGCACGGAATTTCACTTTCTTCTTCGTTTTTAGAGCCGGTTCCGTATTTTACTTTAGGCACAGGGACCGTTTTCATCCAAGTGCCTGAATTTGCAAGAATTTCTAATTTTACTTATTTGTAACACGACAATGGCGATTTTATTACATGGATAAATATACTAAAACGCTCACTATATAACAGTACAATATAATAAATAGCCTATAGGCCTATAACAAGCAGCCTGAGATACCATCTTTAACTAGATTAGGCTCAGCAGGGTTATTCTAAAATAGGCTTTCTCATTGAGTATCTATCTATCTATCAGTCCATCAATCCATCCATCTATCAAGAGTGCTAAGTAGTAGCCTGATTACTGATAACTGATTACTTAATCAGATTCCAAAAATTAAATACTTGTACTTAGATTATATTACATTTTAAAATACTCGAAATCAGACTACAGTAACTTTTTTATTGATTACATAATTACATATTCAGACAATAGCAATAAATTATTATTAAATTAAAACCTTGATGTAATGTAATGTTTCATGCACTTCATGTTGTTAATAACAACATTTTCTTTCTCTTTGTATTTTTATCTCAATATGGTACAAGATTATCTTATTTAAATCAATGTGATAAACAAGTTAGGTCAAAAGTATTCTTTCTATCTATGCCCTAGCAGCCAGCTAGAACACTGTAGTTATAAGGAAGCTACATTTAGATAAGAATATTTTTTGTTGTGCTGTCTTCGTGTTGGTCTCTGAGAGGAAGAGCTGTTACTGCAGACATACTTAACAGAACAGTACGCGCCACTATCAGATCCCATGAGAATGTCTAGGCCTGGCTTATATTGCTGTTCAAATGACACATCACATTTATTAAATTGAGTGTCAGTTTCTTTTGACAACTTAATCACCAGGAGAATAAACTTTCCAATTATTGTTTCTACCCTTTTGTGTATCGACAACACATGTAGACAGTGTGCAGACGATAAACTCTAATTAAAATAAACGCATCCTACACTCATCACACAAACAGGAGAGGGCAGTCAATCGGGGAGGGCGTTCAATGTTTCAGCCTGGCTGAATAAACAGTGCTCTGTCAGGCACAGTTGTTGGATGGTAAGGGCTCAGATATCTATAGAGCAGGGCTGTGACGTTAAAACAGCAACCGAAGAGGGGGAAGGGGTTGTGCTAGAGGGGCCCGGTGCTGAGCCTGCACCTATGTTCCCTACCCCAGGCAGAGGTAACCAGAGACCAGATACCAAGAATGTGAGACATTTGGTGACACATTTCCTTAGCACAAACTCAAAAGTTGAGCGCCAATGATAGCGAGACTGCAGGGCCATTAGGGACTGATTGAGTTCACTTTGCAACGGACCGCAGCACAGTCTAGTACTTCTGGTGCCCTTTTGTGACCTGTGTGATCAGGTATGATCCACTCAAAAATACATACACCATATTAAATGAATATATTTGTACTGCCAGTTATTAAAGAAACCATACAGGCCAAAAATGTATGCATATATATATATATATATATAATGAGGCAGCTGACCTGCAGTGAACTAAATTAATTTTTATCAATTCATTATCAAAAAGGAAAATTCAGAGTTAATTTGATAAAGTGCACTGTATTTAAAAATCATTTTGCAATGAACATGTAATTAGCATGTCAGTAGTATCGGACAAAAGGCTAATATAGATGCAAATCCTTTAACCCTCAGATTAGCCCTACTTTGCTACTTCGTGTGCCAATATCCTCATTAGGAGGAATCCAACAAAACACTTAACAGACAGTAGTTAATATGCAGATTTTCTTTGTAAAGGCTTTAAAAAAACAAAACAAAACTGGACATAATTTTCCTAATAGCCTGATCAATATTACATAGGCATATTTTAAGAAGCCTATTTAAAAATATAAATTAGGTAAATTGGCTAGAATTACCCTTAAAAACAACACAAAAAAAAACACAAACGGATGATACGGTTTTCAAATGCCCCACTTTCCAAAGATTACAGTTCAAATATAACTGCACACATGCCAGGGGTTACAACTGGCACCTAATACACAAACACATGGTAAATCACTTAGAATGCTTGGAAGGTTGGGTTCATTTGACATTTGGAATCAGCAGCTTTGGTTACCTTGCACTACATGTAAACGCAACCGAATACAGTGCCATCTGGTGTTTGTGAAGGGAAACGATGACACAAGGGCCAAAGGTGATTGACTGCAATGCAGCACAAACACACAGCTTGTCTTGGCATTACCTGTTTCCCATGCAGCATTAGGTAAACAGCACTCACAGTATGACAAGAGCTAAAACTCTGAACACTTCCTTCTCATATTTAATGCGTTTTTTGATGTGGAATGTACAAATTTGCGAATTCCAGTGAAAATTCATGACTGAAATAATCAGGACATGGTGCTAAGCCTTCTGTGACAGGCTTGTGTTGATGATCACATGACAGTGCATATCAAAACAGCTTACGGTTTGTACTTCTCTGAAAATTAAGAACTTAAAGTGACAAGATGTCCTCCATATTGTCAGCTGACGTGTAACACAAAGGCTGATGCGTCCGTTTGTGTGGCTTGTTTAGCGTTTTGATGTTAGCGTGAGCGTCGAGGAGACTCTGAAGATCTGAGGCAGCATGTTGCTCAGCTGGTAGAACATCTCCTCTGAGATACTCTGATGATAAAAGAAAATCAGAAAGACAGATTGATGCCACATTCTTAAACTGCTAAACAATTTCACTGTTAGTAAATAAAACAAATCAAGCAATATATGCTATCATTCATAAGTATATTTTGCATTAAATTCTATCTATATGCATTAAATTCTATATCAAAACTGACAGTAAAGACTTTTACATTGTCAAAAGAAAAATCTCCATTCTTTTTAACTTTCTATTCATCGAAGAGTCCTGACAAAATAAATAATTGTTTCTACTAAAATATTAAGCAACACAACATACATAATAATAATAAATGTTTCTTGAGCACCAAATCAGTATATTAGAATGATTTCTGAAGGATCACGTGACACTGAAGACTAGAGTAATGGCTGCTGAAAATTCAGCGTTGCCATCACAGGAATCACTTCACATTTTGAAAAATATTAAAATAGAAAATGGTCATTTTAAACTGCAATGATATTTCCACAATATCACAGTAACCAAAACCTTTGAACAGTAGTGTATATATACACAGTGTAAGTATTCAGTGTGTGCAACATCTAGACAAGAGTTTAAGGGAGTTATTTTAAAAGGTGCTAAAGAGTAAAACAAGCAGCTGTGAATGTGAAGAGTCCCCTGAGCCTATAAGCATGTGTCAAACGATGGACACTATTGTTTGAGAATACAAATATATATATATATATATATATATACAATATATCATTTATTCCACTGCCAGTAAATAAACAGTGCATTTCCTCAATAGTCACTTATTAGATTAAAAAGACATTGTTGTACTGTCAAAAAATACCTGGGGAACAAGGAACTGGACAGTCCGTGAGATTCCTCCATCCCAGGAGGCCATTTCCATCATAAAACCTGGAAAAGCCAAAGAAGACTTAAACTCTTGTGTTCATGTTGAGATGGAGAAAATGACCTATTTGAAATGGTAGGCATGTAAATGTGAAAAAAGAATGGACAAAACTGATTGATTAAACTACTCATATTGACCTTAAAAATTAAATAATTTAGTTTAATTTTCAACTCTCTATTTTCTTATTTATTTATTTGTTATATACTTTATCCTTTAGAGAGGTGAACTTGGAAAGTTACTTTTAGAATTATTTTCCAAATAATATGTAAATAATAATATAACATTCTATAAAATAGTATAAAAAATAGATAATGAATATTATATTAAAAACTATAATAAAGATATTTATTACTATAGGGAAAATATTCACATTAAGGCTGGTTTTACATGACTAGCCAACCAGGATGGGAATCTTTTTAACTACAAATATTTTACAACCAAGTATTAGATCTATTATGTTCCTAAAATAGAATCCACTGCATTTAAAACCAACATTAAGGACAATAATAAGCAGAATATAAACAAAATGTATTATATTGATATAACATATTGATAATCAGAGACAGGTTTTGCATGTTTTACATATGAGCTCTTTGCTTGCCCACCTTTCACACACTTGAAGACCAGCTCAGCTCGTTTCAAGCACCAGGGAATAGTCATCTCCTGTACAGATGAGGAAGGGACAGAAAAAAAGTCAGTGACTGAGATAATATTAACCATGTGGGTAACCAGGATTCAAACGCACCAAACTACTCATTGTAGAGAAACATTTACACAAGGTGAAGAACTACAACTTCTCATACAGGAATATTCAGATCTCCAATAAATTTCACGTTGTTCTTTAATAAGACATAATACTTACATAAAAAATGAATTAATTTACTCCTAATAAAGCCATACGTTTAACATTTCCTGCCTAATTAAACACCACAGATAAATATGATTTTGTGATCATGTGGTCATTTATGTGTTACAGATACATATAAATACAGTACTCAGAGCAATCTTGCCGTTTTCTACAGACATTTGATGATAAACATTACAGATGTCCACAGTAACAATTATTTTACAGACATACGTCCTAAAACGAATCTTGTCCGAATAGAGCTTAAGACCTTGGCTTAAAACCATCCTTGGCATTTTGGCTGGGAGAACACACAGTTCCTGTTCAGATGAAAAACATTTCCTGAACACTGAACATTCCTCAACATCGGCCTGTGGTCAGAGAGGCTGTGATTGAGGCTTTCATTTACCCAGAACTGGTCGGTCCACACGGCCTGATCCAAAACAGACCATTTCTAAATTAGACGACAGAGTTTTGAGGTTGAGCATCCAACTCAAAAAAGACAAATTTATCTGGTTTGAACCTAAAGTTAAAGAGTTCCATTTAATCAGGACACAAAATATTGGTTATCGTCCACTATTTAATTTACATGTCAAACGCTGGTTATGTACCGGCCGATATTAGATATTTAATTGCATATGCTCTTTTCCTGTTTTTTTTTTAATTACCTTTGCTGTCATGTTACACTAACTTAAAATTATTCTTTAAATTATAATGTTACATATTAAAATTATAATGTTGTAATATCTAAATGTACTCTAGCATTTAAAAAGATTTTTTCTTTTCTTTCTTTCTTTCTATTTATTCATTTTAATAACCTCAAAGTAGTATAGAATTTTTTTCTAAAAGATATCATGTCCTTTTTATTTGCCACACATCAATGCAAGCCAGATCACATTTTTGGCTTGTTAATAATTTACAGTAATTAAGTGTGCACAATGATGCAATATTTTTAAGGATTATAGAAATGCATACTGAATAATAGAAACACAGTTATAATGAATAAAATGCCTTTAGCTTCTTGAGGGCAAATATATCAGATGATATGTAGCGTGACACAGGTGGTTAAGCTGGAACTGGAATGTTGTGTTTGGCTGTTTGTTTGCCTGTTCTAGAACTAGATGCCAACTAAAGGCCAAATCCTCAACATTTCCCACAAAAAACAAAAACATTTAAATGATGGTAGTTGGCAGAAGAAAACTCTGGAACACCCTTAGAATGTAGATTGTTATAGATTCCAGTAATAGAAAGTTGAGGCTGGGTTGGGTTTTTGAACACCCTACGATATTGGCAATGTCCTCAACTACCATTTTTACAGATCAGAATTGTGTGTAACAACTCAAAAGCTCAGAATGTTAACAAAAGTCACTGCTTGTAAATGTATACAAAACAGTTCAGCAATAAAAATGTTTCTGTAGTGAAGGATCATGCATCTACTCTTACCTCTGACATGTCATGCACCAGCAGCAGTGGGATGGTGATGGTGGTGACGTCATGGGTGCAGCAGACCTTCAGGATGTTCCTCAGCCCCATGATGGCTGGGTCCCGGGCTGTGATGTTTCCAGAGCGCACATTATCATCCACACAGAGGTGAAACACAATGTGAACCTCAGACAGGTTTGAATGGCGTGTGATGTAGAATTCACCTGAAGAGAAAGAGAGCACAGCATCCTCCAGTGTTACGACTAATCAAACAGAGCACTAAAGGCATGAGACTATGTTTTAATTACCTGGGAGGATATTGGAGGAATTTCTGTCTATGATCTTATTTTTGTCTTCACTTCCTCCATTTCTTGGCATTTCTATAAAACAAATTCAAGAAGTGTATTAGTGTAATATATTCAAATATGTAAATATAAACAATTCAATTCAAATATAAACTTTGTATTTATGATTATTTTCCACAATGGCCATTCATTAGATTTATTACTGTCTGGACACTTCTTTAAAAAAATTCAAATCAGCACACATTAAAGTCAGAGCAACAAAAGCATAATAATAAAATACATTAAAAATATATAAATAATGCATGAATACATTTACAACTTAATTTACAAGGAGGAAAATGTGCTTAATTGTCTTATTTAAAAAAAGGCAGAACATTTTCTACAAAAAATACATGAATTTAATTAACGATTTAAAAAATCTTAAAAATCTTAAATCTTAAAAATTTTAATAATAAGAAAAGCAGGCTGCTGTGAATTAGAGTGGGAGGATGTGCTTAAAAATAAATTTAAAATATATCAATTAAAAAAAACATTTAACATCTTAACAGTCTTAAAATATGCTTATTTTATGCAAAACAAAAATGTATTTCATATTATTTCCTTTTGATTTTGGTGTCAAATGTGACCTGGACATATATATATCTCCAGATGTCTTTCAAAACCTTTTTTTTCTTTTTTTTTATCACCAAGGCCAGATTTATTTGAACAAAAATACAGTAAAAATAGTTATAAATATATAATTACCACACAATAAAATTTGAATCCCAATGGTTCATTTCACCATAAATTACTTAAAAAAAACTCTAAAAGATAATATTATGATAATATGTGTTCTCTTTCAATCAAAGTTATGAAACAGTGTTCATTAGATATATCACAGTTATTACAAAAATAATACAAAGTAATACAAAGTTACTTGCAAAATGCAAAACTGTATGAGAACATTCCATTTTCTGGCAAAACATTTGTGCATCTTGAAAAAATGTGTATCGCGTTTCATTGTAGCTAGTCCCTGTCATATGAAACTGGACACTTACTCGCGGTAGGACTGAAGTCGGATATGTGATGGTGCAATGCAGAGGTGCTGGTTTTGGACGGACACAAACGCACACAGTTGTTGTGTCACTCACCGGGCTGCTCTCTCTGCTTGCTGCTGCGCTGAGCTCGTGCATACAGCACCACCTGCTGGATGATGTCCAGCTGCTCATCCACTCTGGGGAAGTGGAAGTCTGTACACTCCTGAGAGACTGTTGCAAAGTCTGATGTCATAGGAACAATTGGAAATGTTGTTGTTTACGTTAGTTGCCAAATCCTTTAGATTCTGACTTCTGATGATCGTTGCAACAAAGCGCTACAAATTAGATATGATACCTCTCTTGATGCCGCTGTATGAGTTGACTCTGTTGTCGACCAGCAGCACCAGACCACAAAGCGATGTGGAGTACAGAGACAGTGCAGTCTGCAGTCGCCGTAACTTCACCCCGCTGCTGCTGTGACGATGGTGCTTACAAAAATCCAGAACATCAGATCTCACCAGACGTAGATTGTGCATGGTCTTCAGCTGAGCCCCTAAAAGTATATCAAACCACTATATCTATTTGTATCCATTATATTTAGTTTATGTAAAAATGATATATAGTTTGATGTAATTACATATTCAATATACACTACCTATATACAGTAGGTTTGTTTTGTGTTTTTGATAGAGGCCTCTTATGCCTATGCACACCAAGGCTACCTTTTATTTGATAAAAATAGCAGTATTGTAAAATATTATTATAGTTTAACTGAACTGTTTCCTATGTGAATATATTTCAAATGCAATTTATTCCTGTGATGACAGAGATGAATTTTCAGCAGTCATTCTAATATGACTTTAATATCATTCTACCACATCAACCACAATAAATTTTTTTTCTTTGATGAGCAGAAAGCTGAAACTTACAGCATTTGTTTGAAATAAAAATATAAATAAATGTCTTTAATGCCAATTTGGATCAATTGAATGTGTCCTTGCTGAATACAAGTATTAATTTCAAAAAAAAAAAAATGCACTGACCCCAGACTTCTGAAGGGTACTGTATACTAGTCGATATTGGATATTTATTTGTGCATTTACTTCATTTTTACATTTAGATTACCTTTGTCGTCATCTAACACGCACTTAGTAAACCTTTTAGTCAATATGTATTTACACTGATAGTTTAATAATATAATACTTTTAAATGCAATCTTTAGCAAATCTCAAAATTATTGTCCATTTCTTATATTGTTCATTATAATATTGTGATGCCTAAATGCATGTATTTAAAACGACTGATTTCAGTTTTTAGTGTTTTTAAAAAAATTTATGTAGCTTAAATAATACAGATTTTTCTATTTTAATTATGTTATTGCACAGAATTTTAAAATCTGTGCATCCTCAACAAATTTATGTAGAGTGGCCCCAAAAATATTTGGACCCTTTAGCCAATACTAAAAATGTATGAATGTCATTGTACTATATAATAAACTATCAAACACTGCTGTAAAAAAAAAGAGAGATAAACATGCATTTGGACAATTTCTGGTTGTCAAACATTTGTGGAACATGTCCACTACATGTGGACAGAGCTTGAGAGCTTGAGAGACAGATTGAAAACACATTGGAAGTGGGCGCAAATTACTGTGGCAGTTGATTGTATGTGGGTATTTTTATGCACCGTTTTGTAGCAGCCAATGTTTCCAAGGAAACACCATACCTAAGTGGATGGTGAAGCTTTCCTCCAGCTGTCGCTGCTCCTCGAAGAGCCGGGCCCCCGCTTCCCCTGCATCCCCCAGCTGACCCGGCTGCACCTTGATCTCCTCGCTGAAACACAAATAACAGGCTCAACTTCTGAAGTTCTTCGGTGTCCATCAATCACGATGATAAATACAGTTGTTTTGCTGTTGGCTCAAGTGTAACACTATTCACTCATGTGCTAGACGGTGTCAATGTGTCAAAGCAGGGATGTCGTAAAATGTAATCAGAACTGAAACTGCATCTAACTGCATCTCATTACTTCAGAGTTATGTGCCCTCTAGAAGCTTGCGTTCTGCAAGTGAACGGCGTATTATTGTGCCATCTCAAAGAGGCACAAAATCACTTTCACTGACTTTTTCATTAACTGTTCCCTCCTGGTGGAATGACCTGCCCAAATCAATCCGAGCAGCTGAGTTAAATGACTAAATAAATAAAATAAAATAAATAATGTGGTGGCAAGAACATTCACATTTGAATGAAACTGAATGAAATCTCTAAGCAGGATTTCTTGAGTGATAACATGAGGAATATCTTACTTTCTGCTCCTCTGTGTCCGAATCCCACTACTATTCACTTCCCAGAACAATCATTGATCAACTCAATTCCATCAGTATCTTTAAAGCTTTCTCTTTCACTCACTTTATTGTACTGTTGTTGGGGTTCTGTAGGTCCCGGTGGAGCTTCATCACCCACTCCTGATACTCTTGTTTCTGGATACCCGTGACTTGTTTCAGTTCACTGGCCCACTTGTTCTCCAGCACCTTCCCATCACAAAAAGTCCAAAAGAAGAGTCAGGAGTCATTCTGAATAATTGCTAGTTTCAATCTGACTGTCAGATTGGTCTTACTTGCTGGGCATCAAAGTGTTGGGCAGCAACGGTATTCACATCCTGGTCACACAAGGTCTTTCCCAGCTCCTGCATGACTTTGTCCATCTCAACAGCCTGTCTGTAAAGACAAATGTAACTATTTCATATACATTTATAGTAGTAGTCAAAAGTTTGGACATTTTGGACATGTTTCTCATGAAGAAGCTTAAACGTAAGATAATTCTGATTTGTTTAACATTCTCCGTCACTACATAATTCCTATATTTCCATCTGTGTTTTTGATGACTAATAAAATCTATCATCTATAATAATAGTATATAATAATTTAATAATTAATTTAAAAAAAAGATTAACGTTAAGCGCACAATTGTTTTCAACATTGATGAAGAAATGTTTAATAAGAAATTAATTAGAAATATAAGCATATAAGAATCATTTCTGAAGGATCATGTGACACTGAAGACTGTATTTATGGCTGGTGGAATTCAGCTTTGCGTCACAGAAATAAATTACATAAACAAATAACACTAAAACAGAAAACAGTTATTTTAAATGTTACTAATATTTCACAATATTACTGTATTTCTGATCAAATAAATGCAGCCATAGTAACAAAAAACTAAAAAAATCTAACCGACCCTAAACTTTTGAACTGTGGTTATATATATATATATTATAGTATAAATGTCAAATATTTTTTGTTTGAACAATTAATAACATAATTTTATTTTTTTAAAAGTACACAAATAAAAGAACGCCATCTGCAATAATTTGCAATTATTTTTTACCTTTTGCTGATTACTCAGTATGGTATTATTCTGCATTTATGTTGGGAGCTCATTATCCAAATTACACTCCCTGGCATTTATTCTCATAAAACAGAATTCCATCTCATAACAACCTCCCACACAAACCTCTCCTGAAGTTTCTTGAGCTCCATGTCTCTCTCGCTGATGAGCTCAGAGACACTGACAAAGTAACTGTGCTCCAGGTTGAGAAGAGTCTCTGAGGCCGGGGAGTGGATCAGTTCATGATAGACACTGGCAAAATCCTCGTCCCAGCTGGGTTCTTCAGGACGGGCGTGTTCCAGTGTAGTCTACACACAGAAATGATACAAAAGAGAGATTTACCAGAAATGCACAAGAGCAATCGACTAGCTGAGTACTCGTTCTGCACCAGCTAGTCGACTACTGGAACTAAATAAATTGATTTACTTCAATGTTTTGTTTATTGTTATTTTTAAATCTTGATGTTTTTTTGGAAATAAAAGCATAGGTTGTACACTTATTTTAATACTTTCAGATTAACTTTTGCCCTCACACTCTGAATACACAGAACATCCTGGAAGCTTAATTACTGCTCTAAATAAAAACATTTTACGCAAACAACCAGGTGGTCGTTAAAAGGCCATTTGATGAGCTTGAAATAGATTGGAGAGCATCCATCTGTATTTGTATACGGCTGCTGTAAAATGTTAATGGTTATTCTGTGTGTATAGCTGTGAGCCAACAGCGCTTCATAGGAAAGGGAGGGGGCGGATTCTGCTTTCTTTTTATAAGTTCGCTGGAGCAAGTGGAAGCAGAATTTAAACTGCAATACTTTGAAGTGCTAATGCAGATGGTCAGGCTGACCTTCTTAGATGTGGAATTAGGACAGATATTCAGTTTCAAAGAAATTTCTTGTGTGGGCAGAGTCAGAGTGATTTATTGGTATAAAAGACTATTCATATTCAGTAATGTTATCGATATAATGGCACTGAGAACAAAATTTGAACTGACTTGAGCTAAATAATGACAATTGCCTTCTGTAGAGCTGCTTATAGCTGAATTAAACTCATTTCATAACTGCTGAACATTGACAGTTACTGAACTGAATTGAAACAACACTGAACTAAATTGAGCTGACTAAAAATGACTCTATTATCTTCTGTAGAGCTGCTTTGCAGCTTAAATTCAATTTGTTTCATAAGTGGTGATTTTTACAACATTAACACTGTTATTTTCCTGTTTAATTAATGTGAAGCTGCTTTGAAACTATTATTGTATATAGCACTATGTAAGTAAGTGTGACTTGACTATTGACATACTAAATAGAAATTCATTTAGAATTAAAAACTGAAGTGTGGAATTTCTTCCAATTGTAAAATAAATTTCTTAATGTTAATGTGCAGTATGACATTAGTAGGTTGTTTTCCCCGAAAAGTCTGAACTCAACAGCATATAATATAAAGCAGTCTTTATTAAGAGATTACACATGAAAATAATTAATTATTATATATTGTTTATCACATTATATTGCATTGTATTATGTAATATGTAGTATATATTATAATAAATTACATATACAATTAAATATTTTAAAATTTACATTTTTAATTAAAAAAGATTTTAATTTAAAGAAAAAAAAGGATGAACCTTAAAAATTGCTAATGTATATAAAAATGGTGATGTCTAAGAGGAATGCAATGATTCAAAATAATTTAACCATTTAAATTGAGACTGTGCTCTTACCTCAGAATAGGCCTTGGCCCATGAATTTGTAAGTTTGTTGATGTCGACTTCTCCATTAGTGAGTCTCTGCAGGGCTGCTTCTGCATCCCGGTCATAATCCACTAATGTTTCCCTCTCTATGAAACTAACCAGTCTGTTTTTCAAGTCTAAAATCAATGGAGAAAAGTAAGAGAATGTGTAATACTGAGGGTTGAATCTGATCATATACATGCTCAAATAAATGTTAATACATTACCATTTTCTACAAAACAGGGGATTTTATGAAGCAGCATGATCCGCCCATGAAGATCACTGACATTTTCTTTGAGAGGGAACTGAAGAGGTACTTTGAGAATACAGTGATGTTGTCCTGCCTTAAACTCAAACACAAACTCCTTTTCGATTGTATTGGTTTTCCCTTTGTTTTTCCTCATCTTGACCTGTATTCAGAAGACAGACATAAAAAATAATGGATTTAGCCTATACAATAGACGACAAATATAGACATGATTAAGCATTATTATTATGAATGCTGTCTAAGAAGGGTAGCTCCCTAGATGTTGAGACGCAGCCATAGTTTTGAAAAGATGTATTGGAATAGATGCACGCCTGGCATAAATAACTCCAATAACAAACAAACAAAATAACAAACCATTGTGATGTTATATAGCCAGAAATTTTCGTTAGACAAATACAAAATGCAGAATATGGACGTAAATATCCGTTCATAAAAATAAGCACACCATTTCAATTATGTGAATAACAAATGCTATTCAACAACAGCTCACATCATCACATGAATAAACTGAGCGCTAGGGAACGAGCTCGTGCTAGACGACGAAACCACAACATACTATCTGAAATATATTTGAAAATCAGGTGTAGCAGAATTATACGGCTATTATTCGTGTATTTTCCAGTAAATTGTCCAATATTATTTGCTTGCAAGACACTTCCTACTTACCGCCACTTGTTTTACTCCGATGCTAGCTATCAGCTGATCCGCTAGTTTAAGATTAGTAACAGCAGATTCCATACGAAATGAGAACCGTGTATTGTTGTAGCCTGCCCGTAATTTAATTTTTAAATTATTTTCACAATAAATTATTATGCAGTACTTCAGACCAACATACAGGCCAAAAGTCAGCTAAATTTTATTTGTTGAAAGTGCTTCGTTCAACGCAGAATAGAATGAAGAAAGCAACAGAAACTTTTCATTTGTGCCATAAGCATATTAAGCGTCGTATCTGTGGTGCAACAGTGTAAATATCTTAATATAAGTTTGTTATTTTAATTTGATGTTGTTCATTCTTCATATACTCCAATCAATCCTCTCCTCCTCATTCCTAAAAAATGTATAGGCCTATAAGCATCCACTGATGAAATATGTTAATATGCAAGTTATGTTATCTTGCATATGCAGCTGTTCATTTTCACCTAAATACAAGCAAGCATAGTGCTTCGTGTGTCCACTGCATGTAACAATTTTAACTAACATGTTTATCAGATCAAATATTATAATTAATAATGTAGGCTATAATTAGGTTATTTCCTTAATTGATCATTGGTCATGTTTTTTTTTAAAAATCATTCTCAAAATGCATTCAAAACTTTATTTCTCCACAAATGACCAATGTTTCATTAATATGTTCAATGAGTGTGCAAACAATGAAAAAAGAAAAAGAGAGAGAGATTTTTATATATATTATATATATTGTCCTCATTTGTAAGTCGCTTTGGATAAAAGCGTCTGCTAAATGACTAAATTTAATTTAATTTAATTTTTTTATTTAATATATACTGTCCAATATGTTTATGGATGTTTCTAAATGTTAAAATCTAGGTTATTTGCCAGGTATAATAGCCGTTGTGGACCTATATTGTCCATATCAATCCCTTTCGTGCTGCTGCAATAGTTTAATATTAATAGTTGAGTATTTTGTGTCACTGTATCATTTAGGATGGGCTACTGTTGTCATTGAGCAGAAGCATGAGAAGCACAAGCACGGGATTCAAATCCCGTGAATACAGGATTTGTTCTCTGTTACATATACAAGACCTGTATTAAAGATGCATGCTGTATCAGTTACAGGTAGAGTGACACATTTGTTGAGCTCTTTGTCTCTTGAAGCCTAAATCACGCACGGCATCTCTTCTCAAATCCTCACGAGGAAAATATGAGGACATCATCACATCATCATGTGGCCTGAGCTTCAAAAAAGCCTACAACAGAAATCATCTATGTAAAATGTAAATGCTTTGATTGTTATTGATATTGTATTCGATATTTTAAAATAAGTGCATACACAGGCATCCCAGGAGAATTCTGTCATTTTGTAACTTTTGGACAAAGCCCTTTTTTAAATATCTTTCTTGTAAAAACATATTTTTTTCTTAATTGACATGTGGTCACCCTCCAGAGTGTGTTGAAAACAAATCTGTAGAAAAATAATGTACAGGCTATACGAATAAATATGCTTTTAACCAGCTGGGGTCACTAGAGGCTTGCAGTAAAGCCTCCAGCACTAATAACTGCCGGTGTATATATAGTTTAAACAATTTATACACATATTCATGTATGTAATTAAAAAATATAAATACAATTTATAGAACCTATACAAATAAATGTTTATTATGAATTTTCAAAACGTAACATTTAATTCAATGTGTTATTGCTGTTTCTTTGTGAAATGTACAGCAATTTCTGTGTGAAAATAGTTTCAGAGTAAATCCTACACCGTTTTTTAAAATATATGTTTTTTTTACTTACCGCATTTCCTAAAGCATAGATATTTTTTGCTTCGAACAGAAAAGCTGTGAGGAAGAAACTAGAGACACTCATGAAGGAGAAGAACATTAGCCTTGCTTTGGTGAAAAAGGTAGGTGCACTTTAATGCATTGTCCAAAAGGATGAGTCATAACTTCATGCAGCACTATGTGCACACAAATAAACCTCTGATCCTGTTGGCTTTTTAAAAAAATGAAACCTGAAGCTTTATTCAGTGTTAAAATAAGGTCGACCAAGCTTACATGCATGGACAACGTAAAAACACTGACTCATCCAAAGGATGAGTTTGGGGCAGTATCTGTTTGTTGGATCAATGGCAAATGGAGAAGTGTTTGATTGGTACCCATAGCCTACCCTTTTTTTTTTTTTTTAGCACAGCCCTTTCTCAGTGACTTTTTTTACCAGTCCAGTATCCTGGAGCTTTGGCAGATACCACAACTCTGATGCAAACCCATAAAGCACTTACAATCTGATGTTATGAAATTCTGCCTACACACTACAACTCCTTCTTCATCTGTTTTGAAAATACTGTCATTAATATGTTTTGTGGATGACAGGTTGGTGACGTTTGTCCTCAGATCATTGCGCTGTACTGTACATGTAAAACAGGAACACTGGTTGCATTTTGCTTAATGGCTGACCTGTTCTGTTGTAGAGAGAATAACGTCCTCCTGTTTTCAGATTCAGCAATCTGCATGTTTTTTTGAAGAGGTAGTTTATCATAAAATGACAATTCTGTAATAATTTACTCATTTTTATAACTTTTATGGAGTTTGTTGTCATTTTGAAGCTTGACAGTCCCTGGTCACCATTCACTTCCATATATTCAAAAAGAAAAGAGCAGCATGAACATCTACTTTTGTGGAAGAATAAAGTTAAACAGGTTTGGAATGACATGAGGGTGAATACATGATGATATAATTTTAAGTTTGAAAGATCTATTCCTTTAATGTAAAATACACTACAGACTCTCAGAACTTGAACTGTGAAATATATGACTTTTTGAAGATGTTCTCATCTTGAGTGACTGTTTCTTTCTTTGCTTGTAGAATAGATGCTGTGTGAGAGGAATCGGGCAATGAATTGCTTAAGATTAGTCATGGATTCAGTGTTAGACTGATATATATATATATATTTTTTTTGCTCAATCTGTCTGTAAAATGAGTATTACAAGATAATGTGCGTATTTGCTTTCAGTCTGAACAAGATCCTCACAGTGCATCACTTTAATACGTAAAAATTAGTTTTCTGAAGGAGCTCATTTCAATCAGAGTGAGAGGCAGTGAAGACCTTGAGGCAACTGAGTTTCTGAGAGAGAGCCCACTTCTGCTCAACAAGTTACGCTGCCATGGAAACAGCTGCCGCTTTGGAACGGTGGACTGGTGCTGGTTTCAATTTTTTTTTTTTTTGCTCAATCTGTCTGTAAAATGAGTATTACAAGATAATGTGCGTATTTGCTTTCAGTCTGAACAAGATCCTCACAGTGCATCACTTTAATACGTAAAAATTAGTTTTCTGAAGGAGCTCATTTCAATCAGAGTGAGAGGCAGTGAAGACCTTGAGGCAACTGAGTTTCTGAGAGAGAGCCCACTTCTGCTCAACAAGTTACGCTGCCATGGAAACAGCTGCCGCTTTGGAACGGTGGACTGGTGCTGGTTTCAATTCTTTTAGTGGAGGTGTTGTGTTCCCAACATTCCTTTGACTGCAGGAGAGATTCACTGAATGTGGCACATCTGAACATGGCACTGTGCTATCATTAGCTCCAGTTTGTGCGAGGAACATACCGTCCATCTGTACTTACTGCTAAATATTTTTTCTAATTTAAGCCTGAGAAGATTTATGTCACGCTATTAATAAATGAATGTGAAAATCAGTTATTTTTTTAATTTGTATGTATAGTATTGTTAAGATTAGGTTTAAAGACTTTTTCGTGAGTGACTATGAAAATACTATAAAGCATTTCTCAAACCTTTTAATAGCAACTATCCTAAGTTGTAAGGCACCAAACAGGGATTTATGGTTTCAAGAGCCATCCAAAAACTGCAAAAAAACATCTGCTATAATATAGTTAAAATATTTGTGATTTATACTGCAAAACATTATTAAGCATTATTAATAATTAAACATTATTTGAGAAAGAAGCCTTTAGCAGTCTTGCACAGAACGCAAGATGCAGGACAATGGAATGAAAATGCATCTGGATAGCATCTGTTTAGCACAAGTTTACATAGAAAAGTGTTTTTTAAGAATACCATGTCTTGTGCAAGACACTGTAAAAAGACAAAAAACTCAAGCACAATGGTCAAATACATCCATCTAGCAAGTTTACATAGAAAACAATGTGGAGTAGAATGCAAAAATATGAGATGCATGGTAGTGGAATGAAAAAAAAAAACAAGCAGCAACACATTTAAAAAAAAAAAAAGTTGAACGACAGAAAAAAAAACAATGCAAAAGCAGCTCAGTGGAATGCAAAAATGTGTTGGCCCTTTAAGAAACACATTTTTTAAAAGTTGAACTATACTGCAAAAGATGTGAGTAAACGGCCTAGTGCATGTTTCCATTAAAAACAATGGAATGCAAAAAAGTGAGATGTAGGGCAGTGAAATTAAAAAAAGCAAGTTTTTTTTAAAGTTAAACTACTTAGAAATTGAACTTGAGAGCCATGCTTTTAGAATGCTATGTTATGCACAAGACGCTTCGCAACAAAAGCGAGGAGCTAGAGTGTATTTACAATGAAAAACAATTGGAAAACAGAAAAGTGTAATGCAAAAACAGATTCTGTCTGAGTTAGCTATATCTTCAGAAAACGGTTCCGTTTAAACAGGCAGATTGCAATTATGTATGCTGCTAGAAACTACAAACTTCATCTTCAATATACTAACAAGCAGCGAGTTCAAAACAGCAAGGTTGTTGAGATATCAATCTCATGCACATCTTATTTTCATATGGGCTATGTTGACTTATTTGCATGTGGTGTCTGATAAACTAAGTGTTGGCAGGCCCTAGACCTCCAGCCGAGTGTGCGTTGATGATATAGCCATTATCGAG